GCGGGGCCACAGAGTCCGCCCCCAGGAGCCCCCCTGTCACAGAGTGGATACGGGGCTTTTGGCCCACCCCGCCAGCCCCCAGGCCCGCTCACAAATTGTGCTTTCAAAGACTTGGGAGGCACCAGTCACCCCTGGTCCCCAGACAGGGTGTGCCTGGAGGGGGAGGAGGAAGCAGTCCTTGCCAGACATTTCCCCCACACAACTCTCAAGCAGAGGGGGGCATCGCCAGCCTCCAGCTGGCGCACACAGGCGAAGGAGGATGGGGGAAGGGGTTAACCCCTTTTCCTTCCCCTCTGCCATTGTCATAGACCTCAGCTGGGGTCCTGTGCCAGTGGGAAAGGGGAGGAAGGGAGGATTAAATCCCCTCTCCCTCCTAGCTTAGCCTTGGGGGGCTGGTCCAGGGCTAGCGTCAACTCTGCTGCGTGAGCAGTGAGGGGTGGGGGGGGAAGCCTGATGGGGACTGCTGTGCCCCTGTCAGGCAGACCCCAGCTGGGGTCCTGTGCTGGTAGGAGGGGGGATTAACCCCCCCCTCCCTCCCCCACTTTGCCTCAGGGGACTGGTATGCCGCTGCTGCTTGAGTGGCGAGTGGGGAGGTGAATGAGGGGGCTGCTGCGCCCCTGCCAAGCAGACCCTGGTTGAGGTCCCATGCTTCTGGGAGAGGGAAGGGAGGGGGAATTAAAGCCCCCTGACCTGCCTTACCCTGCCAGCCCCGGCCAAGGCATGGCTATGCCCCCTGCTCTCCGCTCAAACAGGGAGAGAGGGAGAAAACCCAGACAGGGGCTGCCCTCTCACCTGCTCGAGTGGGGAATGGGGTAGAGGGGGCAGAAGAGTTGCAGCCCCCCTCACACAGACCCAGGCTGGGGTCCTGTGGGCCATGGAGAGGGTTTAAAACCCCTATCTCTCCTCCACCTGAGCCTGCTGGCCCCAGCCCCTGCCCTCTCCACTCCAGTGGGAGGGTGAAAGTCTGGCAGGGGCTGCTCTGCCCCTACTGGGCAGACCAGGCTGTGTCCCCAGCTGGGTTTTCCACCCCAAACCCCTTGTCAGCCAGCCCTCACTGCTCTGGCTAGGGGCAGGGGCCAACCCTGCTCTGCTCGAGCATAGCTCAGCCCAGGGCTGCAAAGCATCCTGGGATGCTGGAGGACTGGGATTTAATTTGAACCAGGAAGAGGTCTGAGAAAAATATTCCATAAATTGGTTTGACCTAAATTAGTTAAGTTTGATACTACATTCAACCAGGTTTATCTTAAATCAGTTTCAGCCATTTTTTAAACTGGTTTATGTACACTAAACTTCTGTTCTGTTATAGGTTTAAACCAGTTTCTGATGACTTAAACTGGTTTATGTGTAACTTCTGTCACTAGCCCAGGAGCGAATGGCATGTGGCGGGGCTGACGGACCCCTCCGCCAATGAGTGGTGGGGGTGGGATGCACAGGGGGAACGCCAAAATTAAAGGAGCCCCTGTGCCGTGAGCTGCACCATGATTTAAACCAGGACCAAGGGCAACACATGGGGGAACGCAGTGGTGGGGCACAAGTATGTGCTGCCCCCGCTGCTGCCAAGCACTGGCTCTGGCTGGGCTGCAGCCCTGCGTCCCATACTTCCTATCAGCCCTGACCCCTCTAGGAGCCCTTCTAACCTCCCTAGCAGCCTATTGATCCTCCTAAAAGCCCCCTGCCACTGCAGCAGCTCCCCAGAAAGTCTTTAGCAGCTCCCCCTGCTCAGCCCCTAAGGGAAGGGCAGCAGGGTGGGGAGCCCTGAGCCCCACAGCAGGCAGCTCTCATCTTCCCCTTGTCCTCCATGGGCTCCACTTGGCTTTACCTCTGGCTGTGCTGCCCGCAGGCCAGGGGGGAGGGAGGGCAGGCCCCACGCTCCTCCCTCTGCTCTAGCCGTAGCAGCCGCCACCACCTGCATGTAGCAGCTGGATCCTGGCTCTAGCCAGGCTGTAGCCCTGTGCCCTGTGCCTCACTGTCAGCGCAGAAATCTGGTGGGGTATGTGCCTTCCCCAAGCCTCCCAACACGTCACCAATGGATTTACCTGCAAGCAGTTGCTCCCACCACTCTGCCTAGCTGTACTGCTGGCTGGGTGTGTGTGCGCATGCATGTGCATGTGGTGCCCCCTGCTCTGCAGCCTCTGATCACCATGCCCCTGCTCCCCTCAGCCTGCCAGTCTGCAAGGGGAAGCCCACAGTTTCCCGCTTTAAAGAGAAAAATCTGGGTTTTTCCAAATGAAATGGAAAACCCAGCTCTCTGGTTATAACTCACCCCAAACATTCAGAAATCATGAGATTTTAAAAATAAATTAATAAGCGTGAGGTCCTTATTATTTGCTCTCTAGTTGAGTGCAATCAGCCCACACTTCCACTCTTTTCTGTGCAACCTGTGTTTTAAATGAAAAATGAGATGCCAGGGAAGAACTTGGCAATTAGGATGGGAGCATTAAGAACACCAAATAGTATGAAGGCTTGCCAAAAATATTGCAGCCTTAGGCAACATGGCTATTCAACTTGCTGTGACAACAATGCCAGCCTAGGTTCCAATCTTTTTCTCTTGGTCCTAGTGAACGAGCTTTTGAAACATACACTTGGGTATAAATGGCTAGAATATGATCTTTGTTTGTGCTTGTGTTCTAATTTTTTTTAGTTATTTTCTTCTGAAATGCTCACTTGCCACCAGCCTTTGGTTCCTTCTTACTGATGCATGCCCCAGGCCCTGGGCCATTGTGGACATTTTTATGACTACTAGTCTTACTCGATATTTTTATATTAGAAATGTGTTCTTTACTGGAGACAACTAGAAAGTCGTTGTCCTTGCTCTGAAGAGGTCAGTGATGATATCTAACATAAATATGGGTGCCTGATATACCCAGGGTCATCAGCTCTCACAATTTACTTGTAAGTCTTGCAATATTTGGTGATTTCATGAAGCCAAGTAATGTGAAATTTTCAGCATCCCTTTAAAAATTATGTATAAAAGTATGTTTCTAGTTTTCCTGGTTGGAGAAAAAAGCTTGAAAAGGTGAGCTAAATGCACCCTAAAGTTTGGGAACCAGAACAGAAATACAGAGAATTCAAAAATTACTGTTTTAGGGAGAAAATCCTGATCTTGTGATATTGTTAGGTCTGATTCAAGATTTTTTTTTTTAATATGTGGAAGCTGATAATGTAGAAGAGAGAGCTGGATAAAAATTCAGAAAGTAGAATGAAACAGGACATGAACAACAGCATGTAGTAACTTGCACATGACTATATACTTAGGGCCTTATCTGTACTAGGAAAAAGGTGCATTTTTAATTCTATTTATGTAATTGAAGTGAAGCTTAGAGAGACCTAGGATTCCCTTTGATACATCTATAACTTGTTCTGTCCACAGCATGATATTATATAAGCTAGCTAGCACACGGTAACACAACTTTTCCCCAGTGTAGCCACACCTTCAAAGGACTTTAAAAATAAATATATAACAATAGGTTTTTCTGAGTCAGCTCTTTTGGACATCACACAAAATCCACCTTTAGTTGGGACATGAGCAACAAGAGGTGAGTAGCTTGGCAGAGTAGAATAAAGAGGCTAGGAGCAGAGAGGACAGCTGAATCTCACATATTGTCTTTGAAACAAGGAATAACTAGCTTGCCTACCCAGCCCTCTTGACAGTGTAACAGTTCTTCTTTTGGGTGATTCTTCACAGTGAAGGATGACTATCTTCCATGAGTGTCTTATCTGTGGGTCCAAAGATGGCTGACAAGGCTGATCCAGGATCAACAGACTCTGCGGCAACTGCGTGCAGGGCGGGGTCCGTGCAGGGTGGCTGGTTCCAGATCCTTGATTTGGTTCACAACACACTGTTTCTGATGATCCTGCTTTTCTGCCTCCTGTTGTCACCATAAGGTTTCAAAGTACTGAAATCCTTGCAGCACATTCTTCCTCCATTTGGGGTAGTCCTGGGTGATAGGTTTCCACAAGCTGATGTCAGTGTTGCATTTGTTTTCAAGTTGACCTTGAGGATGTCCTTAAAATGCTTTCTCTCCCCTTCTCTTGAGCTTATGGTTTGAAGAATGTAACTATGTTCCATATAAAATGGCTCCTGTGTATTCTTGGAGCATCACATGGGCAACTGGTGCCTCCCAAGTCTGGTGGGGGAAGCAGATCACTGACTGGGGTGGGGTGTCCCCCAGAGGTCAATCACCAAGCCCAAAATCACTTCCACTGGCACTTCCAGTTTTGTGACTGGTGTTTCCAGGGGGTGCACGACCAATCTCGGGGAGCTCACGTGCACCCGCGTGCACCCCTACGCATCGCCAGTGGAGCATCACAAACCTCCAGCTATCTTAGGCCTGAGAGAACACACACATTCCTGTGCGCTCATTTTTCTTCCCCACAGACTAAGTTGGGACAGGCCTTTTTTGCTCTGTCAGCCCCATTCATAGGTGAGGAAGAAAGCAGAAGCAACTAGTTCAATATTTATTCACAACTTTAAAGAGTTTTATGGCCCATAAAACAAACCAGAATTAATTTTTTGAGCAAAGTAAACCCTGAAGACTTAATAGAAACATAGTTACACTCTTAATAGTAGCAAACAGGTAAAGTCCAGTTCTTTGCTCTCTGAACACGCTAATTGTAACAATCTATTATTTATAATTTGAAAATTGCCTACGTTAACTTACCCACAACAAATCATTAACTGTGTTTTGGTTACGAAAGTGCATTTTCTATTGACACAGTCAATAGAAATTAAGAAGCATATCAGTTAAGGCTATGTTAAAATCCAAAGTAACTCCAGTTCACTTGCTTTACCACTCAGTATCCTATTACGCTCATGTCCTGAACTCTGAGTGTGATATCCTGAAAAGCTGTTTTTTAAAGTAGAAATATTTCATTCTAAAAAATATGGGCTGAAATGTGTGTACTTTTGTCTGAATTTCATTGGTGTGAGTGTTAACAAGTAAACAGAATTCCTTACTTATATGCTATAGTTTCTTTAAGATTGCTGCCATCTAATATTTGATGACAAGCAATAAGAATTCACACCTGGTGTTGTGTTTTTGTGGTGCAAATAACCATGCATCAGTTGCTGGAAACTATTCACTCATTTACTTTATTTTCAAAAAGTTTTGGCGCATACACAAGTTCTCTAAATATAATCAAATGGTTGTCCAAAACCATGTACCTCAAGGAACAGAAATTAATCTAAATAAGCAGGAGTATGAGGCATATACAGATAGTCCGGTGATTTATTTTTTAACAACATATATTGGTTTCAGAGTTATAAAATTTAAAAGCTCTAATACAGAAACGTAAGTTGTGGCTAAGCATCTTCCACTATGTAGGTTTGCGATGACTTTGGGTGTGTACAGAAGTTACATTTTTTTGCACGACGAGGCCCCTGGTAGTGCTCTGTAGATGTAACACAACAAACATTCACAGCAGCAGAGCACTTTTAAAATGACTGATCATGTGAAAATGTAACCCTCATTTGATGTAGTATCATACAGGGGTGCTCTAGGGCAGAGTATCTTAGGGAACCTGTGTACAGGTATGCTACAAGGGTTAATTTCAGATGATTCCACCCACTTCCCGTGCTACTTTCTGCAGCTGAGCTGGTGCTGGCACAGGCAAGCACTGGCCTAGCCCCACCCCTGAAGCTGTCAGAGAGGAGAAAGAAAACCTCTGTCTTCTTCCTGCGCAGCTGGGCAAGGGGTAGGGGGGGAAAGCAGGCCCCCACTGCAGGTGTCCTCCTCCAGCTACCACTGCTGTGGGGGGGGTGCTCCCTTTCCTGTCCACCCCTGCTCAAGTATCTTGACAGAAGCAGCCATGGCTGCTGTTCCTGGAGCTGTTCCAGGGCGGGAAATGGAGCCCTCCACCTCATGGGCCTGGCCTGGCTACCCTTTATGGGGTCTTGCAGCGGCCGGGCTGGGTTCAAGAGCTGGGGGGGCTCCATTTCCCCCCTCCCCACCCCAGCTCTGGGCGCAGGAGCTATGGCTGGCGCTGTCAAAATCGTGCTTGTGTGGGAGATAAGGAGGAGGAAGGTCCCC